GAATGAAAGAAGCCAGATAAAAACTGTATGGTTTTCTAGGATTTTTTAAAATCCTAGAAAGAGCAAATGAATCAATATGAGAGATCAGTGGTTGCCTGGGAGTATGAGGAGGGAGGCATCACAAAGAGGCATGAATAAACTCTTGGCAGTGATGGGTATGTTCATTATTTTGATAGTGGTGATGGTTTCACAAAGAGATACATATGTCAGAACTTAACAAATTGTATGCTTTACACATGTAAAGTTTACTGCATGTCAATTATACTTTAATAAAGCCGTTTTAAAGAAAAAGACTTTGGGGGAAAATCCCTTTCTGCTTGCAGTCTACCTACACCTCTTTGAAATGTGTGGTCAGAATGACAACCGATGCTCTTACTTTCCTTGTGTGATAGCAGCTTCCTCTCTGAACTCTCATTTATATTTTTACAGGATTCAAAGAATTCCACCATTTTTCCAACATATTGTTTTAACCTCCCCACCTTTCAGTTTTCAGTGTTAAGGATATTACTTTGCCCTCTCTGTGTTCATTCTTCCCTTGCTGGCTCCTTCCAGAAGACAGTTGAATCTCTATGCCTTTTTGTAAACAGTAGAGGAATTGCCTTTTCACGGAGCCATGACATTTTCCATGGGGATTTGTGGGACGAGACAAAATGAACTAGATCTTCTTTACCAGGGAGCATGTCAAGGACAAATCCTCCGGGTTTTCCCTTTCTTTTTCTTCACATGTCTTGCCTGGCCCTGAGGCCCTTGGGTGCTTGTGCTTTGTGGGCCACACTGTCAACCACACAGAAGCACAGTCTCATGCTGGCTTGGCTGAGGATGCTCACTCCAAGTCAGAACTTTTCCACTCACAACACATCTATCATGGCTGAAGAGAAATTCCTCTTATATTCCTTTTTAGCAACACTTCTTTGTTTACCTCTGTGTTATATGGATTAAACTGGGTATGGAGATGGAAGCTCACTCCTATAATCCCAACACCTTGGGAGGCCAAGGTGGGAGGATTGCTTGAGACAAGGCAGGGCAACATAGCAAGATCCCATCTCTACAAAAAATTTTTGTAAAAAATTAGCCAAGTGTGGTGGCCTGTAGTCCCAGCTACTTAGGAGGCTGAGACAGGAGGCTCACTTGAGCCTAGGAGTTTGAGGTTGCAGTGAGCTATAGTCATACCACTGCACTCCAGCCTGGGCATCAGAGTGAGACTCTGTCTCTGGGGAAAAAAAAGGAAAAGAAAGAAACACTTCATATGAAATTTAGCAAAAATCATTCCAAAGGCAATTTCAATTATTCAGTTCACTGCGTTTTTTATCATTTATTAAAATATGAAACATTTGAACCTTCAAACTTTTCATTTAGTGTGTTCTTCCTTAAGGTCTCGTTGGTATTAGAGCCTTGATTTTTTGTATTTCACGTGGGGAAAGTAAAAGATATTGCAATAGGAAATAATCTCTAAATATTTTCAGAGCTTGGGTAGCCACAGTCTTTTGTTCTGCTCAGTTCATTTTGGAAATGATCAGAAAGAGATGCTTCCCAAGGGGGGGAAAAATCACTTGCTGTAAAAATCTAAGTCTGAACCCTTTTGAAATATTGTTTTAACTAGTGAAAAGTTTACCCTGATTATTTTTTTCTCAACAGCTTAAGGGACTACTATTGGTTAGACAATAAAGGAAATAAAAAGTGGTATTTGCGTGGTGGGTAACTTTGGGCAAATTAATTGGCCTCCCCGTGCCTTGGATTTTTTAATTTTTCAATTGGTCATAAATGGTTTCTTGAAAAGCTGTTTCATGTTGAACGGTTGTACTCAATGTCT